CTCTAATATAGAAAGGATAGAAATACATGTTAAGGCTCATGCATGTGTAGCATCTATAAACAGTTTATGAGAACTGATCATATGACACATGATGAAATGAACAGATGCTTTGAAGAAAAAGACACTAAAATACCCAGTGCTGATCCTGGAGTGTCATAATGTGAAACCCAGCAATAGTGTTATTCTTTGTTCAGAGTGATATTAGCCTGCTTTGGTTTATTCAATGTCAACATAATTGAAGAGATAGATAACTGCATGTAAGTTTAAGTGTATATGATTGATAACCATATTTCTAGGTTTTTGTTGGATAGTTGAATGGAACTGGTTGCAATCTCACTGTTTGAATCCCCACTTTATAAGCTCCACTTCAGTATCTGGAATAATGATTTGTAAGAAGACAATCTGTAGTCATCAACTAGTGATTTCTTACTGTTTATTTTTTTCTTTGAAACTATGTACTATTTCTACTGGTTTCTGTTATTTTAGTCTTTCTTTATGTTAAATTAAAAACTAAAGACACTACAGTACCCGGTACAGATCATGGAGTGTCATGATGTGAAATCCAGCAATGCTATTATTCTTTGTTCAGAATGATTTTAACATGCTTTAGTTTAATATAAACATAATTGAAGATATGGATAACTGCATGTATGTTAAAGTGTATAGGATTGACAACCATGTTACTAAATTTTTGTTGGACAGTTGAACAGAACTGTTTGCAGTCTTGCTGTTTGAATTCCCACTTTACATGTTCCATTTTTGTATCTTGAACAATTATTTTTAAAACGACAATATGTAAACATCAACTAGTGATTTCTTAATGTTTATTTTTTTCTCTGAATGTATGTATTATTTCTACCTATTTTCTGTTTTGTTTAGTCTTTCTTTAAATAAAATTAAAAAAAAATAAAAAAGACGTCAGTGTTACCATGTTGCTCTAATGAAGAAAGCCATAATTTTATATAGCATACTAAAAATGTATTACAGATGTTCATAAAATGACACCAAATTCCATTCATTATGTCTACTGGCTATTGCGTTATTTGGATATCTGTTGGCATATTGCTTGATATAACTGAACAGTGAAGCACTCATTCAATTTGCAGGCCTACAGTACAGCATATTTTGGAATTAGCTCAGTGCTTCATTGGTGTCTGTTATGAAAAGGACAGATAATAGAAAGATTGCCCAGCTGTCTGGCACTAAAACCATGTCAAGTGGTTGTTGAACAAGATACAAGCTCATCTCGAAATCTGAGCAATCGTCCCCTGCTTTCTTATTGTTTTCCTTCCCATGAGAATGTCTTCCATTTCCTTTGTGCCAGCTGTGGAAGGAATGTATAGAAAATTATTATAAAGTGTGGAATTACAAATTCTGCTATGAATTATAGTGTCTCAGAATCAAAACTGCAACCTTTAAATAGAAAAGTAGGTATAGAGCCAGCCCAGAGAACATCACGCCCTGATATTGTTCCTGTATAAGAAATGCTTTTTTGTAACACAGTAGGGTTGAAATATGAAGGTAATACAGAATATTTGCTAATAATTCTAACACTGAAGTGAGAAGAAAAAAATTCAACAGCAGTTTTCCTTTCTTAAGAAGATCACCAATTTCTTCATGACTGGAAAATAATCTTTAGAATTAATAAACTATTACATCTTTTGTCCAACTCATTATGCCTAAGGTATAAGTTATTTTTAAGGGCTCTGAAAACAGTTAATTTAGAATCAGGTTTATAACAATAACATCCTAGATTTGTGTAGGTTGGGTTCTACTATTTTACAAAGCCATTGCTGAATGCTTATGTGAATAATTATCCCCTTAGGTACCAAAACATCCCTTCACTCAAAGTCATCTGAATCTCTGACATTTGACCTTTTAAAACTCAAGTGAGAAGGACCTGTTCTGCTTTGCTACTCCTCAAATGACCCATCTGACATCTGGCCTCTTCCTGAATGGAGAATGAATTCTACTCTAAGATAGTTGTGAGTACAATATGGGAAAAATCCATGTGTGAGGCCACAGTTTCCTGGATCACATAAAATATCTCCTCTTATTTACATTTCTAAATCATGGTAAATATATATGTATATATGCAAGTACATGTATATATATATGTATGTGTGTATATATGTATATATAAACAACATTTTAATCATCTTAAATATATAATTCAGAGGTATTCATTATATTCACATTGCTGTCTATTATCATCTATCTTCAGAACTTTTTAATCTTTCAAAACTATATCGACTGAAGAATAATTCCCCATTTGACTCCCGATGCAAAATCCCAATGACCAACATTCTAATTTATGTGTCTTTGAATCTCCCTCTAGGTACCACATATAAGTAGAATCATACAACACTGATGCTTTAATAGCTGCTTTTTTTCATTTAGCAGGACGTTTTTAAGGTTTACCCATGTTATAACATGTATCAGAATTGAATTTCTCATTAAAGATGAATAATATTGTTTTGTTTTGAATAATATTGTATTGTTTCTGTTTACCTGTTGATGGGCATTTGTGTTACATTGTTAAAAGTTTGAATATAAGTGTTCAGAAAGCTTACCTTGGATTCTCTGGAGGAGGACTCCTCAACTTTAGTAGATTGAATTCGCTTATGATTCTTTCTTTTCTCCTCACATTTCCCATGGTCCAGTATGAGTAGAGTACATTTCATCACTCATTGGACTATGGGCTTTGCCATATGACTAATGGCTTTGCCATTTGCTTTAATCAACAAAATGTGAGTAGAAGTTTCAGTGTACCAGTTCTGAGTTAAGGATTGTACATTTCTGTTGATACCTCTTGGGCATCTGCCATCCTTGTTAGATAAAGGTAATCACTGATCTTGTATAGAAATAAAATATTCCTGAATTCAACTCAGTGCCTAGGTCTAAGGCCAACATCATAATACAATCCACAAACCTGTAAATCAAAAGTAAATGATTATCATGGAAAACCACTCCTTTTGGACTTATTCCCTAGCTAGTTTTAATTCAGCAGTAAGTAACTAATTCAGGTATTATGGCTGATACATTGTGTCAACTTGAGAAGTATAGAAACTTAACTAAGTGATTCAGCAGTTCTAAATCCTGAGGTGTAGAGAACAAGCAGTTACCATTCTAGGATACTGTTCATTGTGTCAAATGAAAACGTTGGAACTTTAAGTGATTCAGTAGGGGCCAGGGTCCCTAGTTTGTAACATCCTCAACCTGTGCAAGAGGAGGGTAGGCCGATGGTGTGATTGCTACACCCATTCCGGGGGACTGGCCTGTATACATTTGAAAAACAAATGAGGAGGGACTGATTGCTACTTCTTTGGAGGAAGGCCAGTCTTCCTTTTCAGCTTGGACTTTGTTCCCTGACTTCTGGCACAGAGTGTTTGGTTTCTGCCTGGGACTCTTCAGCCTTCAATCATAGATTTTGCAGTGTTTCATCATAGACCTATCAGCCTCCTGATATGGACTTGCACAGGACACTGCAGTAAGCCCCAGCATTTGGGCAGGACCCTTCAACCACTAGCATGCAAGCATCATCTGCATGATTCTTTATTCAACTTTGTGGCTGACCATTGTAAGCCAATCTTGTAATTTCTTATACAGTTGTATACCTTGTGTTTTATATATTTCTCTAGTAAACCCTGCTTGAGATATCAGAACTTTGTCAGAGAAAATGTAAGCATCTCACCCATACTTCTAGGTTCATTGTAACTTGTGGGTGGAGATAATTTTCTTCAAGAAATGTCTTCCTGATCTTGACCCAGTTCAGGAAAACCCTAGCTCTTCTCTGCTCTTAGAGGCAAATGTGACAGTTCATGAGACAGGAGTGTAGAGCCAAGTTGACCCCTTGACTTTTAAATAAATGGAGCCATAACTAGGATTTTCTCAATTACTAATTCTGTGGTAAAGATGATATTCAGCCATTCAAGGTGATTAAATTTCAGACATTTTCATATGCTTCACTTCTTCACGTGCTGCATGCCTCCACTTAGCCCATGTTTCAATGCCAGGCCCCCACACTGATTATTCATTGCACTTTAGGTTCCTTCTAGCTTTTATCTACATTTTCTAACCTTTAGGTCATGGCCTTTAGGTTTGTATTTTTTAATGACATTGTTGGGTCCTTGGTCAAAGGGCTTTTCCAGAGAAGTGCTAATGGACCCACGTCATCTAAAGTCCAACCAGGAGTCATGCTGGCATAGTGTCTGGCAGAGGTTGACATTGTCTTCTTTAGCCATGTACTCCATGATTACAGTTTATATGTGGATTTTTCATGCTTCTCAATTATGAACTGATCATGACTGCACCAAATGTATTGCTTGGTGATATGGTTTAGATCTATGGGTTCCACCAAAGTCTCATGTGTTCAGAAGTAGAACTTTTGGAAAGTGACTGGATCATAGTTGTGCTAAAATCACCCATTGGTTAATCTAATGATGTGTTTGTGGCTAAATGTGCTTCTAGGAGGTAGGGGCTACTTGGAAAATGTGGGTTACTGAGGGTGTGATTTGGAAGAGTATATTTCCCTTCCCAGTTTCTACTTATACTCTCTTCTTGATTGCCATGCTGTGAGCATCTTTCCTTCCCCTAGTCTCTTCAACCATGCTGTCTTCTACCCTGGAAATAGATGAAAAATGTGAGCTAAAATAAATTTCTCCTACTTTAAATTATGGGTTTTGGGTATTGTGAGCTAGTGATGAGAATATGACTAAGACACACGGAGAACATTTCAGATTAAATAAACATAGGCAATTCAAAATATGAGCATTTAAAATATACAGTAGCTTATTTATTTTTCTTACTGTTTTGGAAAAAATAAATTGCTACTATTGTCGTTTTAAATATTGCCAAGCTTTCTCTCTCTTCTTGCCTCAAGGCCTTTTCCTGCCACTCTGTGTGCTTTTCTAGTCACATTGGTATATAGATATATTGTTCCTAAAACACTGGCCACTAGCAATTTGAATTATGATTGACTTGAGCAGTTGATGGCATTATATTGAAATGATGAATGAAAAAGGGACTTAATATTGAAACTTAATATAACATTATGCTATTATGATGTGTTTGGTGAACATAATATAACATTAAAATATACACACCTTGTTATGGTTTAGAGCTAAAGCATCTCTGCAAATTCTTAAGTGTGTGTACAAGGTGACTGAATTGTGGTTGTGCTATATTCATCAGTGGATATATCCATTAACAAATTCAGTATGTGAGTGTGCTGTTCAGAGGTAGGACCTGATGGGTCACTAGAAGCTTGACCTGGAAGAGTGTATTATTTTCACTGCTAAGGCAAAATATTTGACACCCTAATCTAGAGGAAGAAAGGCTTATTTAACTTGCTGTTTGTAGAAGTTTCAGTCCATAATCAGCTGACTCAAAGGTAGAGTAGTACTTTACAAAGGAGCAACAGTTTATGAAGGCAGAAAATAGCCAAAGCAAGAAGCAGAGGTAGAAGCTTCTTTCCCTTATATTGTATGCAAGTTACTCATCCAAGGGCAGGTATAGCTCTCATGCCTCTAATCCCAGCATCACACATACTAAATTAAACCACCTCCAAAAATGTTCTATGGCTACATGAGACTTTGAGAGGATGTTGAGACACAAAACATGGTAAGAAGCCTTTGGAACTCATTCATAGGATAATCTTGAAAAGCTTTAGAGATGCTGGCTAGAGAAGCCCAAAATGTGATAAACTGAGCTAGACAGGAGATTCTGGTTAGCACTCAGAAGACAAGAATGCTTATAGAAAAGTAGATGGTAAAGTCCAGGTTGAAAAGGTTTTACTTGGGAGTAATGATTCCACTGGCAATTGAACTAGAGGCTGTATATGTTGTGCTGTGGCAGAAAATTTGTTTCCATTTTGCATAAATCCTGAAACTTTGTGAGAGATTGAGATTAAGGAATTATTTAATATGAGAAGTGAAATTTAAAAGCAGCCCAATGTTTAGACTGTGGCATGGGAACTGCTAGCTATATTTATCTAGACTTACCATGAGAATCAGGAGCAAACATAAGAGCCAAAAGATGTGAAACATTTGCAGTTTCAACAAAAAATAAGAGCCTGCAAAGTTGGAGCTATGGAGAGTGTGGTTGCTAAAAAGATTAGCATTACTAAAAAGAAGCTATTACTCTCTATAAGAACAATAGAAGAGATGGTTTGAGCACATCTCTGAATTCAGCAAGTTCCCATTCTTTGCAGTACCAAAGGTGCAAAAGTGGAAGACTTTGCTTTGAGAAGAAAGCCCAGCTAATTTATGGTCAACTAAGAAAGTTTCCCAGAGTTCAGTCACCCACTCAGAGGTCTCTACAGCCATGATTTAAGAGGGACTGGTTACTGCTCAAGCTGGTGGACTATCTTGGATTCATCCTTGTAGTGGTAGTTTTTTCACACAGAGAATACAAGAGTTATGGAATCATGGAGGTTGCCACCCAGATTGGAATGTAGAATGTCTGCTAAGGAAAGCTGTAAGTTGTAAGTGTATCTATCCCATGAAAAGGCCATGAAAGCTGTAATAAGCATTGCCCTAAAGACAGTTATTTAGAGTGGTTTAGAGTACTTAACATTTAAAAAACTCTACTGGGCTCACAGTTAAGTATTTTCCTTTAATCTCAGAAGAGACTAGACTTAGATTTTTTAGCAATGTTTGAACTATTAAAACTGTTGTGACTTGTAGAGATGAATTAAGTGCATTTTGTATAATGACATATACATGAGTCTTTGGGGCCCAGAGGCAGAATGTTATGACTCATCTCTGAAAAGTCCCCCAAAATTCTCATGTGTATGGATGGTTATTGGATCAGGGTGATACTATTTTCATCAGTGGATTCATCATTTATGAGTTCAATAGCGGAATGTGCTTTTAAGACATGGGTCTAACCCATATGCAACTCTGAGGTCCATGGTGAAAAACAAAAAAGACATGGGGCCTGATTGATAGTGAGTCACTGCCGGCATGACTTGAAAAAGTGTGTTCTTGTTCTTGGCTCCTTGCTTCTCTATGTTTTCCTTGGTTTCCATGAGTTGAGCACCTCTTTTTTCTACCACCTTCTACTCTACCATTTGTGCATTGGAGCCAGCCAATCAAGGCCTTAAACCATGATCTAAAATAACTCTTCCTTCTTTAAATTGTGGGTGTTGACAGTTTTGTTCCAGGAACGAGGAAGTGAATGATACACACTTTTTATAACTAAAAAGCTTAGAGTAGGGTTTGAGTTTTATTTAAAAAATTTATACTGAATTCTTAATTTTGATTAGTTTCCTTTTAATTAAGTACAAGGCTATAATTTGGTATTAATGTTAAAAATAACCATTGTAATATTTTATAGAATAGCTTTGAAAAGAAGATGTGTGATAATTTCCCACATGAGTTATGGATCTTGTCCTCAAAATTTTTGCTTAATTCAGCATTCCCAGGAATATATCAACTGGTAACTTCAGATTAAGTCTATAGATACTATCTATATGGTAAGGTGTGCAATAAATCCAACATTAGTGTCCTTTTTTCTAAAGATAAGGAAGAGAAAATAAAGTGACATTACCTTTTTGATGACATGATGCAAAAATTAATCTTCAATTTGAATTGTGTCTTTAAAAAGTTTTAGCTTAAAAGTCTTCACAAAAACTATGAGTAAGATGATATAAAGAGCTTATTGAAAAATTTAGGATAAGAATATGATACCATTCAGTGTGGCTAGATTATGCTGTTCAGGAAGTGTGTGCATGTACACACACAAACACACACACACACACACACACACACACACAGATTCTGCTCTGAGCTGAATTTTGTAGCTTCTGATATTTGATGCCTCAGTTTTGTTGAAATTTCCAAAGGCTTAGTTTGGGATAAATAATAATCATTTAGTGCATTAATCTTACATTCTCAAAAATACCATTTTGTTTTCTCGGGACAAGAGTGTCCACTCAAATTTACTCATGGACCAATTTTCCCCCATGAAAATCTTGGTAGGCTTAACTAATATTTCATTTAAACAGTGCCAAGTGAAATAAAGCTATTTTCTGTGAAGTTGTGTCATTGAATGATGACCTTTTGCAGACTGGAAATCACCCACAAGCTTAATGTTTGACTTTTATACTCAGGATATTTTAAGTTTACTTCTAATAGTCAAGGTAACATTATTTCATGAGTGTTTAGGTATTGAAGGGATTTTGAGAGCTCATTTATTGATGGTGACTAAATCTTTTTCTTTTCAGTTGGGCCTTTTGTACATATGTGAGACAGATGATAGTGTGCATCCTATCTGACAATAGACTTGGAACAGTAGTGAGAGTAAACAAGTTTAAATTGGAGTATGAGGAATTTAAATTGGTTACAAAAATGTGATTGCTGACAGAACAAGCAAAACATGTTAGAAATCACTTACCAATGTTGATTTGATGAATCTGTGTTTTGTAGGTATGTGTTTGTGGATGCAGTTTGCATTTTATTTTATTTCTAGTTCCAATTCAATAAATTCTTAGTGTTATAGACTGAAAAGAGTGCAATGGTGAGTAACAGCCCACCCTGAGTGAATGTAAGTTGATTTGATAAGCAGGATTGGTCTTCATCCTTGTCAGACATGGCTCTAATGTGAGGGTATTATTTGAAGACAGATGTACAAAATATATACCATTTGTTATGTTAATATGGAGAAATATTATTCTCCAGTGAACAGAATGATCCTATCCTCCACTCACCGGTACTCACTTCTATTTATGCCCTCTTTTTGTCATTGCTAAACTTTCTAATTGGTTTGTGTATCATGTACTGCCACATATGGGCATATGCCTCAGGGGAAGATTATTGACCACAGAGTTTGAAACCCTTATTAATCTAAAGTAATTATGTTAGCCAGTCCATCTTAGTTTGAAGATCTGGTACAAGCTGACTTGATAGAATGAGAAACAAACAAACAAAAAAATCCATGGGTAGCTCTTCGAAATGTAGTTTCCTTGTTAAACACAGACAAGAGAAGTCAGACTCCTACTGGCTATGAATAAATAACCATTATCCCTAATTGCAATTAGCCTTACGATAGCTTAAGACTTGTCAGTTTTTGTGTTTGAGTGGAGAGATGGCAGTGACCTGTGTCCTTTATGATATCCTTGACTAACTAACCATAATGTCTATTTTACAGTTGGACTTTAGTTTCAGTTGACAATATTTTTTATTATTGTTGAAGATTCAATAGAATTTTCAGTTTTGTACAGCTTAAAATACTGTAACTGAGTTTTGTACCAGCACTGAGGCACATCAAGTAATAAATCTTATGATACAGAATCAACTATGTGGACGAGGTAAGTCAGAGGGAAACTTGATCTTTCTATCCTTGTCATGCTAGTGTGAAACACTTGTCATTCTTCAATTATATGATGCACCCAATAAAATTAAAACATTAAAAAATTTGCCAGAAAAAATTCAGGATCTTGACGGGTTCTTACATCTTCTAAGAAGGTCTTATAAAAATAAGATAAGCTTTAATATTCATCTCAGATGTTGCCATTGGAAGACAATGGAGTTTTATTAGAGAGATCTGTGGGATTTCCTGGCTCTAAAACTGTAACCCTGTCCAGAAATATATCATATACTTATAAATTGATGGCCAGTGAAACTGGTTGTCATTCTTTAAATTTTCTGAAGTGAAGATTTTACTAGGGCTTCTATGTTTTATCAGCATTTTTACATTATCTGTGTTCAAAATGAATTATTTATACTTATATATTGCTGGATCTCCAAGTACTACAGCTTGAGTAATGAAGAAGATGCACTGTCAGTCAAGGATCTTGAATTTAGGAGAGGCGTGACTGGTAAAGACTGATTTGTTTCCTTTCAAGAGGGACTGATACGACAAAAGCCTGTGTTTTGTTTTCCAAAAACTGTTACCAACATGTTTTTTTATATATCTCATTGGTCAAAGTTTGGTGATAGGTGAATTCCTGAGTCAATAATTGGCAGGGAAAATGGGATTATTCTTAAACCAAGCTCATGGAACTCAAGCCAGCTCACCAGCCTCATCCAAATCTACTCAATAAAAATGAGAGGTGGAATCAATATTGG